TAGTTCAGAGTTCCACATGGTGGGTTGATGAGTTTCCATACATCAGCACTTCAGATGTTACTGAAAAGAGTGGGGGAAACTTTCATTTTCTGTTGAGGAGCAGAGTTACTCAGAGACCACATGCTTATGGTGGTAGAGCAGGGCTACCACCACCTTTTCCATGTTTCTCCTCCAAGCACATTGTTAACACGTACATAGCATTCTTTCCTGTTATATTATTATTGTACCATTATCTTTTCTCTGGGAGCTCAAGTGGTAAAGAGTTTAGCTAAAGTGACAATTTGGAGAAAAAACAGTATGGAGCTTCTTTCTATTGTTGTTGTTTTGGGGTTTTAGCCTAATCATAGAATATGTGCCTCCCCAGTTTGGGATTTAGGAGTGAGCAGTGAGGTGGCCAAGATTGGTGGTAACACCAACTTATTCCAGATAATGAAGACAAAGAGCCTAAGGCAGCTTTCCAAATTTAAGTAACTAAACATTAAAGTGGCAGATATAAACACTTTAGTACTAGGAAACATTGATGTGCGTATGGCAATGTAGGTATTATCTGTCCAAGAGCGATAAGGGCCAAAAGACCATTCACATGGTGTGTTGTTTTCCTTCCCATTTTCTTTTGTGTCGCTGCCCTGGTCATCAGAGTTTATTGGGGTCAGTAAACTTCTTGACTGTTTTTGAGATTTAATGTACACATCAACATCTTCAGTTGTTAACTCTTTATAATATTCCTGAATCACTGCCTAGTTTAGATAGCAAATTTCACAACCTTCCAATTTCTTTATGTTCAGTTGTCATCTTCAGATGGAATGTTAAAGCCCACACATTTTGGTAGAACTTCAGGTACGCCTGTACAGTACTGTAATTAGGTTTATTTCCAGGGGTTTCAGATAATTTACCATATTCTGGTTTTCCTTCAGATAGTATAAAACATTTGTATGGCATTTTTGAAAAATTCCATGTTGCAGACTTTAAAAATTGCCTCTAGTGCATTGCCTATATACAAGTCTATAATGCAACCAGAGCTGGCATGCTGTTAATACCTGTGATTGCCACACCTCAAAGAGTATACAGTGTTGTAATTCTGGGAAAAGTGCAGAAAAGGGTAACTGAAAGTATTATGGGGCTTGAATGTCTCTATGTAGAAATGCTATGGTGTTTGCATCTTTCTAGTTTAGTAAACAAAGAGACGTGACAGAAATTAGAGAATTGTGTTTGTTGAAGGTAAGTACGTAGAGCCAGGTTTTCCCCTGCCTGAGGACAAAGATTGCATTTCGTCATCCAAATACAGTTACAACAACTTCCTTCATATGCAGTAACAGTCACCGGCCTGGACAGCTTCAAGAAGGGACCAGATAAATTCATGATAAATGAAGCTGTATCAAAGATAAGATGCCTGTTTTTGCACTTTTCAAGGAAATCAGATTGGCACTTTGTGGAAAACAAACTGTTGGATTACATGGGCCTTTGGTCTGATCAGTAGGACTATTATCTCTGTTTCTAATAGCTCAGACCATGTGGCTCTGCTATTTCTATTAGTACCATGAACCAAAACCAGAGAATAGCTTAGGAAAACCAATGAAGACCTGGGAAATATTGTACCTATGTAACTGGTACTTTTAAAAAACCTCAATAAACTAACTTAAAATTGTCTCAAGGGAGTTTGTGACAGCTCCGTGGTTATTCAAAAATTCAGAGCATTGTTAGTTATTGTTGGCCTCCCTCCAGTCATGGCTAGTCACCACATATCTTCCTGTATCAGTTAACTGCTCAATAGATGATCTCGTTAATGCTCCCAAAAGACAGCAATACCTGTAATTTCCTCATTAACCTTTTGCAACTCCTGCTGCCTAGAAAGCATTTAGCTAGATGGCCAACTTTCACTTTGGCCCACAAATAGAATCGTAGCCCTGCCTAATGTTTGCACTCAAGGTTCCTGGTTTAGTTATAGTCAAGGAGAAACTGATACTATTACCATAATTTTGAATCCTCTCTATAAAGACATTGGCATTTCATTTTGGAAGAGGGATGCAATAATATTAAGGGCCAGCTCAGTTTTATTTATTTCTCCATACCGGAGAGATTGCAGTGCAAGAACATATAGAACAACCCCGTATACAATTTCTGGCGTCTTTACTTCAAAGGATCAGGTATTTGGAAAATTCTTGGACATTCCTTGTCAGAGTGGATAATACTGAAATTACACAACTGTGGACAAAGGAGTCACAAGGATAATCTAAAATCATCCACAAGAGGTGGTTGTCCATCCTCTTCTTAAAAATCTCCAGAGGTGGGAAACCTACAATGTCCATATGTGGACTATTCCACTGTTGTACAGATCTTACTGTCAGGAAGTTTCCCCTATGTCTAAATACTATACAGTTATTTCTGATCCTAGTTTCTGTGGAAATGGGAAATCATTGCTGATCCTCTTCCCTATGTCATATTTTATGTACCGGTCTTTCCTGAATCTTCTCTTCAGACCGGACATCCCAAGTTCTGTTAGCCTGTCCTCACAGGTCACGTCCACAAGTTCCTGCATCATCTTTGTTGCTCTCCTCTGAAGCTGTTCTAGCCTGACAATAGCCTCCTGGAAATGTGGTGCCCAGAATCATACATGTGGGGAGGGGAATAAGGACTTCATGTGTTATTCATACAATTTGCCTTCTAATGCAGCCCAGAACTGCATTAGCCTTTTTGCAGCTGTCTCATACTAGCTCATATTCAGCTTGTTGTCCATGACCAAACTTAAGTCTTTCTCTTATTTAGGACTGCCATGCCATGAATTCCCCATTTTGTATACATGCCCTATATTTTTCCTCCTTAAATGTAATAATCACATTTCTCCCTGTTGAAAGACATCTTGTTTCTCTCAGACTATTTTTCCAACTTGTCCAGATTAGGTTGCAGCCTCATTTGGTCAACCCTGCAGATCCCTGCAGGACACAATTGGTTACTGCTCTTCAGTTCAATGCAGAGCATTAAGCAACTGGTTGTGGACCCACCATAATGTAGTACCATCCAAACCACACTGCTTGCCAATGTGCTTGTCACTGTCAAATGGTTTGCTGAAATCATGGATTTCATCCATAGATCATATCCAAAGCATTTTGTTAATTAAAAGAGCTAATTTGTCAAAGAAGATAACATGTCTCACATAACCTATTTTTAATAGTCATGTAGATCCTTAGCAGTCACAGCACTGTCTTCAAGAAACGTTCAAAAGGCCTGATGTATTATTTGTTCTAACATTTTTACAGGTTCACTGGTTGAAAATTGCTTTTTTTCCTTTTGTGTTCTTCTCCAGTCCTCCAGAAAGATAAATGACAGAAGTCTTGGCAGCTGTTCACCCAATTCCTTCAATATTTTAGGTCTATTTTGTCTGGGCCTGGGGACTTGAAGGAATCAGATAGATCTTTTATCACATTCTTACTGACCTGGATGTTCCCTGTTGTGTTTGTTCCTGGTCTGTGCTATTGAAGCCACTATTTATTTTGGATGTAAAGATCAAAGAAAATAGGAGTTGAATTTCTCTTTTTCCTTTCTGATTTCTCCATTTGGAGTAAGCAGCGAACCTACTGCTTTGCCTTTCTCTTGTTATTGACATATTTGAAGAAACCCTTTTTGCTAGATTTTGCTTCTTACTAGCCTTAACTCGTTTTCCACTTCTACCTTCTTGACGGCATTCTTACATTTCCGAGCAGAAGCTTTGGAGACTTGCTTGGTCCTTACCTCTTCCTTTCATTTCCAATAAGCATCCTTCGTTAGTCTTAGCTCCTTTGCAATGCACCTCTGCATCCACACTGGCTCTTTTAGATGTCTCTCCCTTGTTCACTGATATTGAGACTGCATTAATTTGCCTTTTCAGTTAGTCCCTAATGGTTGTATCACCTTTGCCTTTAATGTTGTTTTCCCATGGCATCTTACTATTTCTCTTAGTTTATTAAAATCAGCCTAAAACCCTGAGTTTGGGTTTGTTTTTACCAAGCTTTTCAACCATGGTCATATGCACCCAAATTCCCACTGCTTTAATACCATCAATCCATTCTCTCTTTTAATATCTAATTCCAGTCGTTTGTTCCTTCCACCTTAACCTTTTGAAAGGAAAAAAATACCAACTTAAGAATTTATCTGGCATCTTGTGTTTGGCAAAATTATAACAGATGTCCTGGTAGTTGAAATCTCCCATCACAACCACTTCATAGTTTTCTGAGCCTTGTTGTCTGCTTTAATAAATCTTCACCTACCTCTTCAGACTAGCAAGGTAGTCTGTAGCAGACCTCTAGCAAGATACCCACCAATTAGTTTGTCCTTTTATCTCAACTCATGTTTTTAACACGTGTTACCATCAGTCCAGTAGACCTGTGTACATTCTCACCTTGCTTGTTATGTGTATTTTGGCATTAGCATAGAGACATTTAAGACGTTTAAAACATTCCTGCATTCAGGCTCCCTTTAACTTTCTGCCTAGGGTTCCTCTCTGGATCTGGTTAGCCAGCTGGTTAGTTTTCCCTCTTTCCTGAGATGAATTCTTTCTCTGCAAAGCAGCCTCTTCTCCCTGAAGTTTGTTCAAGTATTGGGCCGAGGTATCCACAGGATTGGAGGTTTTTGTCAAAATGACAAAAACAGAATTGAGCTACTGGTCATGGCACACGTTTGCCACGATGCACGTGCAAAGGGGGCTGAGCTTCTGTTATGGCAGTGTAATATTGCTTTTATTATCTGCCCCCCTTGCCTGCCCTGTGGATGCCTCTGAGCAACAGCAGGGACGGATTTCAAATTGGACAAGATGGCAGATGTAATAGGTGGATCCCTACTGTACAAATGTGATAAGAGCATGAACATACAAAAGGAGGAAGGTTGTACCACAATACTCCATTTGCTCTCTCTCCTGTTTGGACCCCTGCCCCCCCGCCCTTCACAGACACTGCTGGCAGAAAGTTAAAAAAAGGCTGGCCTGGGCAGAAAAACAATAGGAACAGTAACTGACAACATCAACACACAATTCCTTATTTTTTTTAATTATTTCTTCCATAACCATTGCATCAATTTATGAGCAGACAAAAAGTTCTGGTCCCACTTTGCTAGATTTAAATTAGCTTCTCTGGATGGAAGAACAATATTTTATAAGGCAGTACTTTGAAGGCCACCCAGAAAATACATGGCAAGATAGTGCAACTGGCACTTAAGAATCCAAAATACTACAAGATGGAAACGTTTTACAGATCACCTTCTTCTGACTATGAATTCATTATATTGCCTTTTAAAAAAAGGCTACCATCTTTATTTTTAAAAAAAACTTTTGTCAAGTTCATATTGGTCAAAAAGGCAGTATTTTAAAATACTCAAGGGCAAAGATTCACTACTTTGAGAACAGAACCAGGTTTAGCCTTCTACAAAAATCCAGAAATCATTAGGCAAAAATAAAAGACATTTGTTTTCCCGTATTTCCACTGTCATCTAGCAGTCATATTGTTTTTCTGCAACCTAAATATAGAAGGCACAGACATCTGGACAAAATATATGGACTGGATTCTTGAAACAGGTTAACTTTAGGAAAGCCACAGAATGAGACTTTTTGCCCTTTCCTTCCTTCCAGTAACTTTCAGGAGGGTCACTTGAACAGCAAAGAGATCCTTTGGGGAACGTGGGGAACATCAGGAAATTCAGGGAAGGGTATTTTCCTATGCTAAGTAAACATTTCTTGGGTTCTAAGTCATCTTTTAAAAGGCAACTATATTTACTGTATTTTGGAAGGACTTGATGCTCGCTTCTTTAAAAACTTGCTATGCCTACTACTAACAAACATCTCTTTCCCCATAAAAGGAGTTTCATCTGGCCCTCATTGTCCTGGCCTTTTAGATTCCATATTCTAGTTCAGACTTAATTATATGCATACACATTTCTGGAAACACGAATGCCTGTTTTATTTGGAAGCTTCAGGAAAATTCACTTTACAGCACAGTTGGGCTACTTTTTGCGTTCTCTTTTGGGAGGAGCAAAAAAATGCCCCATATTTTAGTCACTTTTTTAATCAAGATCAAAGCAAAGTGTTCTCGTCTGCTAAAAAGTAAAAAAAAACAGAAATGAGAATAGAGGAGAATTTTGAACTCCTCTGTGCCTTTACTATATCCAGTTCTTACCAAAACATCTAACTAATCAGTCTTTCCTGCATGATTCCCTCCATATATGTTGGGCCATCACTCCCATTTTCCTCAGCCAGCATGCCTACACTGATTGGAAATTATGGCAATTGTAGTCTAACAAGAGGAGGCCCACTGGGGAAACCTGCTCTAAGTTTTATTAACTCTTTTGTGGCTTAACTAAAGAAATGAATGTTATGTTCAGCTTTATGGAGGATGCCCAGAATTCTATTAGTGAGCCCCTTTTCACTGCCATTTCAGTCCAAGTATATCAGGGTAATTGGAATTCTAAATATATAGTGCAGATACCCTCCAATGAGACAGAATTTTAGTTTTTCAAACAATAGTTGTTCCTTTCTAAGTACCTTGCCTTAATCCTTTTCCCCTTTGGAGGCATTTCTAACTCATTAACTTCTTTGTGCAATTAAAGAAACACAGTGCAAACAAAATCATCACTCCAATCACTAAGATTAGAGATGATCATCAGGGTCTGTTTGGAGAGACAAAGGCTGTTCAGGAGAATGTTACTGGACTTAGTTGCTCATGACTCCAATTCAGTGTTTTTTTGTTGATGATGCTGGGAGAAAAAAAAATTACATCCCTTTTAGTCCATTACTCTACAGATAACAGATGCCCTCCCATTTTTCCCCAAGTACTCCAGGCCCATTACACTGTTTTTACTTTTTTCCTACATCCACTGCCCTTCTATCAACATATCTTTTCCTCTCTCCAAACATACATCCATACCCTGTTATACCATTTTACAGGCAATGTTAAGAATGTAAACATTCCTTTACATTCTGAGAACAAACAAGGAATATGTAAAAATAAATATATTTCCAGCCAATTGCACTTCCAGCCCTGTCAGGGAGAAGACAAAGGCTACTGAAAGTTCTTTATCCATTTGAATGGGAAGTGCAAATTGTTTGGAGAATGCCAGAATCTGGGCTGTAAAACATCTTTGCCATAATTAGCAAAGGTGTGTCAGTGGTCCTGACTGACAATGAGGCCATCAGCTCAGTTTCATGCTGATAGTCACAGCCCGTTTGTAGACTTCAGTGACATTATCACAGTCTGCCAGAGAGAAACAACTGTCTGCAAGGGGTTTTTGGCACTGAGTCACTGTCCAGCGTCGGAGTCGGCGGCTCTTGGTTTCCCCATCTCCCTCCTCCAGCTGCAGGAGGTCATCTGCAGAGACAGAGCCACGCATGGAGACTCCTCCACTTCCTGGCATTCGATCGGGCAAATCAAGCTGGTCAAAGGACTCTGTGGAAAGGATGCTGTCCTCACTCACAGCGCTGGATGGGCAAATGCGAGAGGCTAGGGACAGCTTGGGCAAGATGACCTCAGGGAACATTGGGAAGACTTTGGCTGGCACACCATCAGACTCAGTGCTGCTGGAGGAGTACTTGCCATTGTGTTTCAAAATACCTTTCCGCCTGGCCTGATTGTCACTGGAGGTCTGAGTGGAGGAGGGAGTGCCCACAAAGACACTGGCATTGAGGTCTATGTTTTCAGAGTCCAAAACATCTGCAAATTCACTACGGTCCGAAGATGAGTAATAGCCAGACTCTCTCTTCTGTGGCTTTTTCAGAATTCCTTTCTTGGGCATTGGGGGGATGGCTATAACACCTTCTGTATTGCAGGCCAAGGATCTGGAGGACAGGACACAAGCTACATCAAGCGCAGGCCTAGTATTATCTTCTTTCTGCACATCAAGAGGAGCTACCACAGCCAAAGGACTCTGGGACTTCTCACAAGAGTTTCTCTTTTTCAAGATGCCCTTAGGTCTCTTCAGGATTGATTTGGATTGGTTCTCTGGAGCTAGGCCTGTTTCTTGCAGAGCATGAGACACATCGTTCTCCTTTTTTGACTTCTTGAGTGAACGCTGCTTCTCCAGCGTGACACCAGGGATGTGTTGCTTGAAGAAGCAGCGCATCTTGGAGCCATTTTCAAACAAAGGCCTGGAGGAGCGGCGAAGCCAATCTGCAACAGTAGCCAACGTGGATTCATCCTCTCGCGAGGACTCCTGTTCCCCAACTGGTACTCTGTAGCCCCAGTTGACCCACCAATGGCTGGCTATGTCCTCAATGGTAGCTCGGCGTTCTGGATTCACCATTAGCATCCACCGGATCAGGCCACAGGCATCTGCAAATCAAAGAAATCATATGAGATGTACAGATAGGGGGTACGCTTCATTTCTCAGAACTCATTTCTAACTTCACTACCACAGGAAGAAAAGGTCCTATTTCAGCTAATGACCTGGACTTACTATCCATCAGATACCCAAAAGCTACAGCTATGAGAATGTACAGACCTTACATTCACAGAAGCATAGTGGTAATTCAAGGCATGAAGTCCAGCCTGCTGCTCAGTGCAAAATTCAAATTAAAGTATCCTATACAAATGGCTGTCCAGCCTAAGCCTCGCTTAAGAATTGGTTTTACTGTCAAGCTTCTCTTACTATACAAAGTTTTTCCTGACACCTCTGTGATGACAAAGAACAGATCTTGACTTTTCTCTCTTCTTTTTCAGTATCTGAAGCAGGTGATCTCTCCTCATAGGACTTTATTCCTGGATTTTTTATCGTTCTCATTGCCCTTTCTGAATCTGTCTATCTGTCTGAAGCTGCAATATCCTGAATAGGATACAGTATTCTTTTTTTTTTTTAAGAAAAATCATTTAAAATATCTATTAATATAAAATTTAAAAAACACAATCAAGAAGAAAAAGGAAAGTAAGAAAAAAAGAAAAGAGATTTACAAGTGCTATAAGTTGGAATAAAAAATTCAAAGTAACATTAGATTAGTACTGTGTATTAAAATACCTTGTAACAATTCAGAACTTCAGAATATTATCAGAATCAATGTATGCACTGACTACAATAGCCAATTGTAAGTAAAAAAAAAAGAATTCAAAGATTTTTGTCTGATCTAAGAACTCCATCCTTATTTAGCAAATTAAACAAAAACTTAGATATTAAAGCCTTACATTAAAAGAAACTCAAACTTTGAATATGATACAAGCCTATATGTAGAATTATAATTCAGAAATGGTATCTGATTTGTTTCTCAAATATGAATTTATTTTTTACACTAATGCTTACTCCCACTACTTAATTTGCCATTCTTCTATGGAAGAAATTATACCTGATTTCCAATGAAAAGCATAATGTGTCCTGGCAGTTGTTACCATATATAAAGCCAACTCAGTATACTTCATGGAAATATAAGGTTTGGTCATGTTTAACAGAGAAACAAATGATTGGAAAGTAATTTCAACCTTTAATTTTTTTCAGTGTATAATAAATTATCTTCCAGAACAGTTGGGCATTACAACATTGGCATCAAATATGGAAGACTGTTCTAACCTGATTATTGCATTTATAACAATTTTTAGAAAATGAGTTATTTTAGCAATCAGTACTAGAGTAATATACCATCAATAGAACATCTTGCACTGGTTTTCTTGAAATGTAATATTCTTGGTGAATTTAATGCTTCTCTTCCATTGATGTCCCTGCTGTAGCACGTCAATTGTCCTATTTAAATTCTGCACCATTTAATCATACAATCTTTAAGGGTTGATAAATGAGCTCCAGCAAATGTTTTTAGTTTTTTGTTACAAGTTTTTCAAATTCAGTCAAGTCTTTGAGTATTCCATCTTGTTTTTGTAATTTCTCTAGAATATTTATGCAAAGCACCTGAAGAGCCACTCCCTCAACAGAAGCAACCCAGCCATTAAACAACATAACCTAATCTGTATAATCTGCAGATGGCTTGATAATACAGTTTGAAATGTGGTATTGCCAATCTGCCTCATTCTTTTATTAAACTTAATCCTTGGCCGTTTTGGACCATATAGTTTTCTCTGCCACTATTTTAATATCTTGTTTTCAATTCTTACTGGAATCACCTGAAATAGAAAGTTAAGCTTCGGAAAAATACTCATTTTTATCACTGCAAGGGATACAGTACTCAAAGTGTTGACTGATTAATACAAAATGGAATGGAACAACTCCCTAGGCAGAAAACCGCTAATCCTGTTTCCACTTACCTGAAAGTTTGGTGGGTTCTTTGTAATCTCCCCTTGTAATCTGTTTCACCAGTGTCTTGTAATCATGGCCATCAAATGGCATTGTGCCATGGATCAAAATATAGAGAAGAACACCAAGGGACCAACTGTCAACCTGCAAATATAAAAGCCAGCTGTTAACTTGCAGCCAGTCTACCCAAGGAATAGAACTGTTCCTTGATCTTTATGTTGGCAACAGCTATCACCATCAAGAAGTGCAAATAAGAATGCCTTGGCCTGATCACTGCTGATAAAATAGCAATGACACTGTCTCAGGATGTACCTTGGCTGCAAATAGCACTATGGAGCCAGTTGTTTCTTGCCATCAATTTTCCCCAAAACATCCAACAGGGTTGTTAAATGCAACATGCATGGCCAGGTGCATGATCTTGCAACAGTTAAGTATTCAATGGGAAGAGCCAGGAATTTCAGCTATGACTGTTTTGCAGCTTGAATAACATTAATAGTCCAAATGCTTCTCCAGTATTGAGGAATTTTTATTTTATCAGTTCTCTTACCTCAGGTCCTTTGTAAGGCCTTCCGTTAACTATCTCAGGAGATGCATAGAGTGGACTGCCACAGAAGGTGTGAAGAAGCCTATCTTGTTGGAAGACATTGGAAAGGCCAAAGTCTGCAATCTATGGTGAGGAAGAACAATCCTGGATTAATGCTGTTTACTACCAGAAGACAAATAGCAAGGATTTCCTTTAAAGTAAGTCTTACTTACCAACCCCAAATCAACTAGAATTGTATTTTTACAGAAGCCTTTCAGTTTCCTGCATTGTCCACATAAACACAAGCTATCTGACCTTAGATTTCGAACCAACATAAGTATATGTAGTTCAGGGTTGAACTGTGGAGTCCTTGGCGTTCTCTGAGCTTGGTTGTTTCCTTGCAGACATTTCGTTACCTAGCTAGGTAACATCTTCAGTGAACCCCAAGGATTCCCTAGATTTAGAGTTGTCAAATGCTAATTTTGGCAACAGAATAAGCACCTTGTTCTTATTGTTTACTTATGGTAAATATGTATGGTGGCCTTTTAGTCAGGCTTGAAATCTGAACCTATTGTCACAAATGACAAGCTACTACCTATAAAGCAAGAGATCTTTTCCCTTCAAATATATAGTAAAGACAGGTGGATCATACTAGCTCTCCTCCCCTTACAATTATCCTCTGCCTTTCATCACTGAATGGCAGCACAAATAAAATAAGGTGACCTTTTTTCCCCACAGTGAAGAAATACCTGCACTTGTTGGACTTAGACCTGTTGGGAATATTAAGGTAGCCTTTGAGGTGGAAGATATGAATGCTAACAACAAGCTCTCTTTCTATAGTGAGAGAACCACTTTGTTGAGTGCACACCAGAACTTTAAGATCAGTTTAGCTGTGACTCCTGTTCTATTAGTCTGCTATCCCTCAACAGTAAGTATTTGCTAATGCCACCACCATCATGTTCCCTCATGCAGCCCACAGCCAATCAGATGAGCCAGATGGTACAGCACATGTTTTCAGAGTTTGTGATTTCAGAACAGCTGATTGTCTGGGCAACATAAATTGGGGCCTAGGCCCAGCAACATGTGCAGCAAGGGTCAAAGTGAGCAAGATGGCAGCCACACCATCACAATGGAAACCCTACCCTTATGTGTATGCAATGCTGACACAATCTGGTACCCTCAATCTGTGCTCAACTATAAATTCTTTATACCCAGTGGCCCACCTGACATGTTGGCTAATGGCAATAAGCATTTTCAGATATGCAACTGGATTATTTGATCTAAAAAACTGTTTTCAAAGTTTCTATCACTGTCCCATAAATGTTTTCCTTTTCTTTTTCTTAAACAAACCACATCATTTTCTTCTTGTATTCTACTTTGCCAAGAGTCCCTATGTACTTTAATTCTTCATATCAATCTGCCTGTTTAGGAGAAGAGAAGCTAGAATTCCTGGCAAACACTAGGTATTTTTAATCGTTTCATTGTTAAAGGATCCAAGTAACCCAAAATAAATGGTCAAATCAAGGATTTGGACAACAGCATTTTCTTGTTTTCTGAAGCCATTAAAAAAAGGTAGGACTCAAATTTCCCTTCTGCAACTCTGAAATCTAATAGAAACAGATGGCAGTGCATAACGTAGAACTGTCAATGCCCCACTGGCATAGTTTGAAGGCACAGAATATATCAACATTGCTGAAAGTAGCCACTTCTGAAGCTGTCTGTGAATCTTAATGTTTTGAAATCCATGAAATAAATGAACATTGTCAAACCATAAATATTCAGTCTTACTGCCTAACTAGCCTATGACATCATGCAAGCTCTAAGTTGACTTAGAACATTTTCACACTGGAAGGCTGAACATACCAGCTTCCCAACTAAAATCCATTGTATCAATATAAATACCAGCATTGGAAATATCTGCATTTGTAGGAGAGGATTGGAATTCATCACATACTATCCAAACCTTTCAAAATTGCTATTTTAAATTGTCCTTACATAATACTTTAAAGTTCTCCAATAAGTACCATAGGAAAGAGGTGCTCATATCCATTCCAACTTACTTTGATGTTTCCATTTGCATCTAGAAGAATGTTTTCTAACTTCAGATCTCTATGAACAATTCCATTCTGTTGGGAGAAAAAACAGAAGCTTGTTTTTTTCCTGTTAGAAAAGAAAACAAAGACATGCTGGAAGGCTATCTCAGTTCATCCCACCTAGTTTTATATCATATATTAGTAACATGCTTAAAGATCTGTTTTTCTGTGAAGTAAAACACTAAACCAGACAGAGGTAGAAATGTTAAGTAAAACATATACACATCGTATGCATACTAAGTAAAGAAGGGAGAGTAATATGGAATAACAAGAAGCCTCCTGCTAAGAACTATTTTGTACCTCTGAATAAAGATGCTTACATTCAAATCTATGGTTTTCTATGCAAACAATATAATTTGAGTGTGTGATTGTGTGGGAGTAGTAGTAGTAGAACCCCCTGCACAATTGTTGCTAGCTAATGCAGATGAAATCACAACAAAGGAAACCCCCCCATAATGCTTACAAAATCCTTCAGTGAACTGTTTCCTTTTGCTATTGAGAATTCCCCACATTGGATGATGTGGAAAAATGCCAAATTTCTTATTCTAGTACATTTTGTTGCAAAGAACAAGCTGTTGTCAGTTTCTAAACATGTCCTAAGACAATGGAACTAGTTGCAAATGAATGCAGTATGTTCCCACCCACTGCCCACACTCATCTGTAGTCCTTAACATTCCTGGAGCCCCAACATTACTTCCTAAGATAGAGAAAAGAGTCTAAAAATCTACATTTCTTCCCTCCTCCCTACAAGAACAAAGCTTGCAAAATAAGAACAGTAAATGTCTAGAATTCCAAGCTGACAAGTTGTGTATGAAGCAGGTTATCCAAGTTGGACCTTAGTTGGTTGCATTACGTTTTCCCTTGACTTTCAAATGCATGGAAGTAGGTGCTTCCCAATATAACAAGTGATTAATTTTTGGCATGTAATTTGAAAGCTGCTGGGCAAAATAAAAGAATTAACTTGACAATTTCAAGGCTACTTTTTCTAAGGCCAAAGGAAGATTGCTCAGGCTCCATTACCTTGAAGAGCACTCATACTCAATGATGGAAAATTTTGATATCTCTCTGTTGTCTTTCCCATTAAAAACCCATACAAAACAGGATAATACTGGAAAGGGTTTTTTTGCTGTATTCCCTTTATAGAGCAACACATCCAAGTTTCTTCAGTGCCCTTCTTACTTAAAGTAAAGGAGAACTCAAATCTTACATTATCAGGTTTTTTTAATCCACTATTTCATGTCTCTATGATTTTCCTGAGGGTAAACCTGAAGTTCGTACTACTCTGACTATCCTTATTGGGAAAGCATTCCCAATGCTTTTAGGAGGACATAACACCCAGTAGGCCAAAATCTCCCAGCCTAATAATTCTGACCTGCTAGCACAGACTTTACTGTAGGTGTGCTGTCCCTAACGCAGAAGCTCACAGGTCCATCCATAGGACCAGATGGAACATTCTGAATATCACCACAATTGCCCAGCTTGTGCAGATTTTGTATGTAGACAGGAACCTTAATATACAATCCTTTTTTTTTTTCACTTTGAGGAGGAGGTTCACCCTCTAATGTTTACATCCTCAGTAACATAAGGAGGAAATTCATCCTCCTATGACAGCTAAAAATGAGAAAATGGTTCAATTATTAATGTTGCCCATGCATATAAACGCCCAAGGATGCTGCATAACAATGTTATTAATTAATCTACCTGGAATAGATGTGTGCTCCGTATTAAACTAATAAAGCATTACTCTGCTAAAAGGGAAAACGGGGGAAAAAAAACCCCCTATTGTGCTTTTGATACAATGCAGGAAAGTGAAACTCATGGATCCCAATGGTGATGAGAGGATATTTAAATAGGTGGCTATATTTCAGCTTTCAACCATTTTAAGTAACTAGATGTAAAATATGCACATGAAAATATAAATTGAAATATTTAAGTAGGTTATCAATTTTCACTAACCTTATGACAATAATAGATTGCTGACACCACTTGCCTGAAGAAGTGCCGAGCTTCCTGCTCCGTCAGTCTCTGGCGCTCACTAATGTAGTCATAAAGATCTCCCTTGCTAGCATATTCCATCACAATGACAATCTTGCTACTGTTTTCAAATACTATATAAACAAGAACAGAAAAAAAAAAATTAGGGCCAACTGTAAAGAATTCCAGATATCTTAATGCCAAATTCTTCTGATAATAAACCTGTTACTTTAGTTCCTGTCCTGACCTGCAGGCTTATATACTTGTGCTGATGTGTGGTCTATAGTCTTATTTCAGTTCATGATCAAAGCATCCCTACCAGATGCTTTTAATGTAAAGCAAATGGTAGCTTTTTTTAAACAAAGACATTCAGATATATTAACAAGTAGTTTAACACTTGTCTTTTTTAACTGCTGCAGTAAGTACTGTAGCAGGTAAATTAGATTTAAGTTGAATGAATTTCCTCATTAGGAAACACCATCAGCTGTGACTAAAACAAAAATTTGCTTCACAGATGGTACCACCACAAGGCATGTAGGCTGCCAAAGAATTGCAGGGATCAGTAACTGGATACCATCTCTTAATTCATTGCTGAATATAATAATGGTTTACATTTAGACCAGGGTCATGCTATTTCTTCTACCATTTAATATCTTGCCTATGTTAGTTCTGGATTACAATACTAGCAATAATGCAGTTAAAAAATTAAGATGATGTGATCAAAGCTGCCCAGTTTTCATGTGTGACACATGTGTGATGCACATAAAAAAAAGGGGGGGTGCCTTGATGGCACAATCATGGCCATCGTCTTGACTTTTTTGACCACATCTCGTGGACACTCCTGCAATAATCAAAATGATACTTTTGAAATGTTAACCTTTCTATTTCATGTTTAACAATACACCTTATGATTTCTCACCTACATTTGCCTTCATAATATTATACATAGTTCCTATACAGTGAAGTTGCCCAGACTCAATGTACTTTATTCCCAGTCCCAAAATCATAAGAATCAACTGGTATTCAGAACATGTACAAGTTATTTTGTACACAAAAATAAAATAAAAGTCAAAGAGCAAATACTAAACAGTACTAAAAAGTGGAAAGAGAAATTTTCAGTGTGGCTGTGTTTCACTTCTCCACCTGTACCTCAGGCAGAAGCTCCCGAACCCCCTCCCTTGTATTTTGCTGGTGAAGGACAGCATTTATTTATGTCTTATGTGGTCAGTACTGCTTGAAGAGAAAATCTTGGTATTTCTTTTCCTCCCCATACTATACATTTGGCCTCCTAATCAAGAGTGACAAAACCAGTTTAAACCCTTCCAGGGCTTTGCCTGAGATGTTCTTATACTTTATACTGCCAGATTTTCAGCTTGTGCCAATATGCAACAGTAAAAAAAAAAATGTTCCTTGCCAAGTGTCTCTTTCAGAACTTTCTACCATCGCTATGTGCAGAGGCCATGGCTGTTTTATTAAGCCACAGGTCAGATAAGTCAATCTTTAATGCTTTATTTTAACAAATTATAGTCCGCCCAGATACCTTTGGCAGTTGGGCCTATTCAAGGTAAAGCATACATAAATAAATCAGTCCACTAAAATATCTCAATTTTGCTATCTTATCATAGCTTACGAATGCTGCATTAAGCAGCTTTAGAACTATAGAGATAAAAATGGCTACCCGGTCCTAAAAACAGCTACAATTTCTAGAATTCAGTTTCCTCCTTTTCTGAATAGCGAATGGCCTGAAAAACAATTCTGGGACTAACATTCTCACAGAAGACCAATGCATTTAAACTGAGGCTGTGAGCAAAGAATTCTTACCTTCATGAACAGCAATGATGTGGGGATGATTGAGAGAGGACATGATTTCAATTTCTCTTCGGATATGGAGAAGATCCTGCTCATCCTTTATTTTGTCTTTCCGGATAGACTTGATAGCAACCTGGAAATGCAGAATTTCCCCCCAAATTAACAGTGGAGCAATCTCTTGTTTATGCAAGTAAAAAATATCAATGCACATCTTGGATTTTTAAAAATTATTAGATTTGTATCCCACCCAGCTCCAAGCGGTGTACATAATGCTGTTGCCTCCTATTTTGCCCACTGTAACAATTCTGTGAGGTGGTTGGGCTGAGAGAGAGTGACTGGCTCAAAGTCACCCAGGCAGCTTTCATGCCCAAGGGAAGACTAGAACTCAGGGCCTTTCAGTTTCTAGTCCAGCATCTTAACCACTACACAATACTGGCTCTTACTCTGCTTTTATTTTGAGACCCAACATTACTTTAAGTTAAGGAACAAGGGAGTGAATAAATATATTCAGAATAACTAAATGAATGCCTATAAATTCATACTCCTGGGCCTTAGAACCAACATCCATGTCTGGAAGCATAAATTTTGAGAATTCTGTGGTTTTAATTATCTATCTATCTATCTATCTATCTATCTATCTATCTATCTATCTATCTATCTATCTATCTATCTAATGTGATTTATCCCTACCTCTATCCAAGTAGTT